GGGTTGATGGCTGCCGCCCTCCTGCCTCCCCTCAGCGCTTCAAGGGCACGGACGGAGCAGAGAAGGCGACGGAGAAAGCGAAGCCGGTGAAGGCGGAGGAGGCCAAGGGGAAAGCAGCGAAGCCCGAGGAGGCCGTGGAGGAGGTCGGTGCGGTACCCCCGCCTCGTGTTGTTCGGGCGGTCGCGGAGCGGTTTGGGTTGGAAGGGACCTTAAAGCTCATCCAGTTCCGATCCCCAGCCACGGGCAGGGACACCTCCCACCAGACCAGGTCGCTCCCAGCCCCATCCTTGAGCCCTGCCAGGGAGGGGGCAGCCACAGCTTCCCTGGGCAGCCTGTGCCAGCGCCTCGCCGCCTTTTTAGTGAATTTCTTCCTAATATCTCCCCTAAATCTCCCCTCTTTCAGTTTAAAGCCATTACCCCTCATCCTGTCACTACACCCCCCACTCAAGAGCCCCTCCCCACCTTTCCCATAGGCCCCCTTTCAGTACTGGAAGGCCACTCTAAGGCACAGCCAAATTAACCAGATCTTCAAAAACCTGGTTACAGCAAGAAGTCTGGTGTTTGTCCCGTGCCTTAACCTTACGCAGCTTCTGGGGCTTGAATTCACGTGTGCGCCTCCTGAAGCTTTGGTCTTTACTGAATATTGTGCCAACGCTGCTACGTTTTCCCCAAATACTCCAGCCCTGCAGTAACACGTGGACGTGCCGTTCGCTGACACTGCATGTGTTCATTCGGTGCCTTCAACCACGTGGCCGTTTGGTCTTGGGGGTGGCTGGTCTGAGTCTAGTTAAGGCAGCAGTCCTCACTCTGCTTTCATCAACTTAGGGGCCGCCAAAGTATACAAAATCAATTTTAAAGAAGGGTGATAAAACCAACTTTCCAAAGAAAGGAGACACTGTTCATTGCTGGTACACAGGGAAGCTACAGGATGGAACCGTCTTCGATACCAACATTCAAACAAGTAAGGCCCCATGCGCGCTGTTCGGCGTTTGTGGCACGTGCACGCAGAGGCCGTTGGCCGGGCCCGTTAAGCACCCTGGGGCAGGCGGTTGCCTCGGGAAGGTGTGCGTGGCTGGAGTCCGGACAAACTGCTGGGTGGGGTGTCCCTGCAGCCCGCTCCTGGAGCCCGCTTTGCCCGGAGGGAATGCAAGGGGATATTTTGGGACTGGCTGGTGTCAAGTGACGCTGCTGCAGCTTGCCAGACCTCACGTTTGGCATTTCTGCAGCCACGGGCCATGTGAGATGTGGGGATTTGATCCGTGCTGAAGCTGCTTCGAGGGGAAGATGGTTCCTGCTGGGGCAGCTTCCCATATCTGTGGAACTCCAGCACCAGCAGTGTCGTTAGCATCTCTAAATAGACACTTCTGTAATAAACCCTTAAACGTGGAGGCACTGGAACGAGGGTGATTTGACAGTCTGGCATATCTGCTGTGGAGAAGTCTGCTGGTATTTTTGTGACAGTGTCTCAATCAGAGGATTGAGGTACATGAAACCCTGCAGTACTAGAAATACTTTTCCAGCAGCGATGTCCAAGGCTACGAGGAACAGCAGGGCTGTTGCTGGAATACTGTCCCTGAGTCATCGTACTTGTTGTGCGATGTTGGACGTTCCCTATGGACTTTCTTTGCTTCGCTGGTGCGTTTGTGACTTGGACTGTCAACTTCAGGGATTCGGAACTGAATCTCTGATGTTCACTGGATCAGTAGCTGAACCTTGTCTCACCAGCTTTAGCTCTTGGTGCAACTTGAACATTTAACGATGTTTTTAGTGCACAGCACTAAATTTCTCCGTAAAAATCTATAATATTGAAGGAACAGATATTTACGTAAAGAGTGATCATCAGAGTAATTTTGGACGGAACTAGGGTATGTGCTGGTGCGACGTTAAAACAAATGAACGTAAAACTGTCTTTCAGGTTCAAAGAAGAAAAAAGCAGCCAAACCTCTAAGTTTCAAAGTTGGCGTAGGAAAAGTAATCAGAGGTGTAAGTAAACTGTTAACGACTCCCCAGAATCCCCAAAGAGCTTTCCTTCATGACTGGGGTGCACATTTCGAGCTCTGTTCTTGTTTCTTGGGGAGGTAAAAAGGCGAGTGCGAAGCGTTCCCGTCCGCAGGACACAGTACTCCCTCCTTGCGGCCGCGTTCATCCATCTGCAGTGTCATTCCCCTCACGGCGCCGTGTAACCGCTACGCGTTCCGCAGGCCGAGCGCAGCCTCTCGCGCCTGTCTGCCCTGTGCTGCGCATACCAGACAAGGCTGGGGGGTTCCTGGGGCTCCGCCGATCCCTGCCTGCATTCCCTGTGCTTTAGCCCCTCGGAAGGCTGTTTCCTCGCGGTGGTATCTGCCTCGTGCCTCCTCGTGCCTGGACCAACGCATCCATTAGCTCCGAGCTGGCCGCCAACCCCCCAAGTCCTCGCTGCTGTCGTGCACCGACACGAGCTGCGGTTCGGTGCCGCGACTCCCCTGCTCTGTGCGGCAGCGGCGCCGGGGGGTGCCAGGGAGGGGGACGCCAGGGCAGGCCGCGGGCGCTCGGTAGGAGGCCGGAGC